GAAAAAAGCAAAAATAAAACCAAAAGCATTCCAACAGCAGCGGGCAGCAAACCATTAATGATAAATGTATAATGTTGACTATGCTGGGGTTTAATTCTTTGTTAGGAGAGCCAAATTTAGATTGTAACCTGTCATTGAATGCTTCAAGTCTGCAGACGTTTTCAGCCACTTTAAAGTGATTCATTTTCGCAGTTCCTCTTAAATTTGAAAATTTCCTGATGTCGCAACTATATCTTTCACCGCATATGTGAAAAGCCAGTGAGTTCATGCTGTAAGAGGAGGACATGGCCACAGTTCTAAGCTTTCTTAGTTGCTTATTATGCAATCCCCTCTCGCCAGCTTTCCATTGCCAAGTCATCGTCGCTGAGCGTGCGGAAATGAGCAGCTGTCTTGGCCTGCTTTCCCCGTTTGCCCCCATGACTTTCTACCAATGCTCCCCAATGGCAAGAAGAAAAAGAAAAAAAAGAAAAAAGCCCTGTTCAAGTTTAAGCCAGGTCCACAACCCCTAAACCCAAACTACCCCAGCCCCTATAGCCCACAAATTCCAGATGCCTTCGGGGGCTCACTTGTGCTAAGTAGTCACAGCAGTCGAGTGCAATGAAATTTTAGCTGCTGCCTCAGCTGGCGTTTCGAGCACAGCTACTAAGTCAAACTTACATGAACACGTAGAAAAATCGAAAAACTTTTTCGAAATTTTGAGCCTCCTAAGATGGCAGCTTAGAAACATTTTTTATTATTCTTATAGTTTTATTAGCAATCTACTACTATCTTAATCACTTGAATTTTAAAGGCCATGCCAATCATCAATTTAACATGGAAAATGCAAAGAATTTATGTCTTTTAATTGTCAACAATATGTCTTCAAATGTCTGACAACGTTATCAAGGCTCAAAAGAAGTGCAATCACTTTTATGGCTGTCATGATCAGCAAAGGGTCCAATTATTTTTCTATCTGCACACACAATCACACATGCACACACAAACACACAGACACACACATGTCATAAACACACACAGAGTGGGAGGGGGAAAGATAGAGAGTGCTGAACAGCAGCTGCAGCTGCAGCAGCCATTTTTTATCATCATTTCCGGAACTCGTTGACAAACGGAAGCGACGAGCCGAGTGCAAAAGGGGTCGATGATTGCGCAGGAGCGGGGTGCGGTGGGATGCAGTGGGGTGCGGCGGGGTGGTGGGCTCGTGACCTAAAGAGGCCAGAAGCACATTAGGCGAGGGTCGAAGGGCGGCAGGAAGCGGATATGACCGAAATAGCATAGCCATTGCTTATAATTTTACATTTGGAAACTACACTTTGAACTACTTTCCCATGTAAGTATGCACTTACTTATACGACCATCGAACGAGCGATTATCCCTCAGAAATGCGCTTTTGAGACATCTCAGTGGCCTTTCAGTTGGCCACTTGGCCACAGTTCAACTGCAGAGTAAAAGGAAGAAAGCCTGCTGAAGAAGATATTATAAGCTCTCAAAACACTTCTAAAAAAGAAATCGCATACGCCTAAATAGCTGGTATAAAAATTGGTTAAGAGATGGCTGCCATTTTTTGAGGAATCCTTGCAAAAGGATCTCGCAAACAAATAATTAGTCGAAAATTATGTTTACATATTTCAACGACAATCGAGGTAATCAAATACTTTGATGGCCCATTATATACACATGTATTTTATGTGTACTATTAATGATAAGCGCATATATTTATATTCAATCCTCGGCAAATACCAAACCCACATCATTCCGATGGTGACAACTTTTTATGCCACAGCTAGTGGGCATAAAAAAGTCATAAAACATCGATATCAATGAGCACATATTCGCCCATTCCTTCGAGCCACTCGAGTCGAAATCTACGGCTAATTTCTTGGCCCAAGCAGCGCATTCGCTTGGTCAACCATGGACGCGCTCAACACTTGGCCAAATCCCATGCCCGTACTCCGATTTCCTCCTTTTCGGCCATTTCTTTTGGCTACTTTCCGCAGTTACTGCCATTTACTCCATATCAGCAAATCCGAGCCCAAACCACTCCAAATACCACGCCCAGCTCGTTCGACAGGGCTTACTCTTTATGTATGTGTGTACACTGCGAACTATTAGGGGGAACAACTACAGGTTTTCCGATGTTATTTGATAAAAATATGAAAATGAAATCCCAAGCCTAAATAAATACTTACGTGTAAATAGAAAGTTAACAGAGATGACCAAATCAGTTTATTCTTTGCAATTTTGTTCACGGTGCATAAGAAGTATGTGTGTATCTGTGAGAAGTGTTTTTTTCGCATTGACAGCAAATTCGAAATATATTTGCCCACTGGCCGACTTGTTTCCTTTCCAGCCACGTTTTACACCACATTTTCAGGGCTTTCAACGGGCCGCATGAGCTTGGAGCTCGAAATGTTTTTACTGCTGAATGGGTAATTTAGTATTTGGCAATTAGCTTTTGCTTTCGGCGCCCCACCGTAAGAGATTCTCCCTTCCCTGGCTTCGCTTCCCACTTTCTTGCCGCCTATTTTCCCAGCATTTTTCCAAGCCATTCAATTGGCACATGCATTCTGCGGACTCGTCGCTTCGCTCGCCTGTTTGTTTATCTGTTAAATTATGCAGTCGTCTATTAAGTGGCTGAGATTTATGTGACCACCGCCAGCAGGAGTGGAGCTGTGGCCACGAGAACCAGGAAATCTCTTATGGTTTCCAACAGCGAGCCTCCAAAAATGATAAGCCGTGGTTAAAACAACTAATTTCAATCTTGCACACGAGTAAATAGATTATTCGATTTGAATCATATGGGTCATATATTAAAATATGTATAAATTAAATGTTTCCGACTCAATCCACGCATGAGTTAAATCGATTATTTGCCTTAAATCGAGTAATTCAAAGACTCATTGCGCATAAATTTGTCCTTCCGTGCACATAATTTCGCTTATGATATGATATAATAAGCCAAATACATAAATTGGGCGAACCATTTAAATAAGTGTGTATACAACGTAATACGCACGTACGGCTATCTATGAAATACATTAAGTAATATGTGAAATTTGTTTTTCACTTTTGTCATTTGCAATTATTTTGCCATGTTGAACCCGGCTTTGTACCGCTGTCATTTAATTTTGTTTACGCATCATTAAATATTATTGAAATGCTGCAATTAATTGCGTAATTGTTATTTTATGTCGCAGCGCAACTGTTTCGGGCACTTTAAGCACTTGACACAACAGCCAGCAGCCAGTAACTGTTGCCCTTTGGCTTAATTCTTCCTTCTCCCACCCACTCGGCACCGCTTTCCCCAATTTCCTCCGAGTTTTCCTTCACATTTTCCACACTTCCGCTACCACCCCGTTTTCATGTGAACTCATTGAGGGCCCCGAGGGCCATTTGCCGGTCAACAAATTGCACATTAAATTAAACACAAATAACTCGTAAAATTATAAAATTGTTGAATGTAAAAAACGTAAAGTGCAGCAACTATGTAATTAGCTGCCAAATCAACAAGCGTGCAAATTATCAGTGAAAATACTGCAAAAAAATATATATAACGATACAGCGAGGAACCGCAAAAAAATACAACACAAAAGTTAACACGCAAGAAAAACAAACTGAGGAATACACGCTTATACCCTTTAAAGCTTAAACATATACGCTTCATATATTACAGACCAAAACTACTACTACTTTATTATTAAAAAGCTCTGAGCATTTGGATTTTAGTTTTCAATCGAATTTTAATTACTGTAATTTATGTAAAAAAAAAAATGTACCAAAAAACCAAATTCAGGGATACCTCAATTGGGTACCTATTCGAGTATTGCACAACAGGTATGAGGTATCAGAAAATAACCAGTGGTAATAACTCGTCCATCGCATGCAATTTGGGAACCGTTTGAGGTTTTCGGTTGGACGTTGAACAATTGCCTGACATTTCACTTAGCCAACCTCAACACATTTCACTTTTTACATCCATTTCGCTTTGAATTAGTCTAAGTTCGCTCGCGCTGCTGGGCAAACAAAGGAAAAATATATATGTGTATACAAAATGTGGCAGTAAATCAAAAGAAGAAATAAGGGGCCAAATCCCCACCCAAAGCCATTTGTCAAGCGTCAACAAGAGCGCTGACAAGTGAGAAGCGGATGGGGTTGGCTTCCATTCGGGGATTGGGGTTTAGTCTCTAACCCACCGAGCACCAAGTACACTAAGCAAAACTCTTTGTTTCAAGCCGTTTTGAAGTGAAATGCACTAAACAATTGAATACGAAATAGCGGCTAGCATGTGTGACTGATATGTATTCTTATATTTGAAGGAAATCATCGAAACATTTTCTATTTCATTTCAAACACTATAACATTTTTTTAAGGCGTACAGTTTGTCGGCCACAACGATTTAATTTCATTATTAAACAATGGGCGACAAAGTGGCAGCAGATTTCATTTATGACCCGCCTGCACACAACACGCGATGTAAAGCGCCTCAACCTCGGTGCTCAACCTCAATCTTATGTGAAAAGACTGAAAGGACCTGCCCCAACTAATTTCACATTGGATGGAGAACCGGACATCTAGCACGCAAGGACGATGGGGGCGTGTCAGCGGTCAGGTCAACGTTGACGCATTGCACAGGAACCAGATAATTAAGCATAATGACAGAAATATTATATAGCACTTGCAGCACTTGCTTGATAGATGACCCCTCATGAAGTGGAGTTACTTGAAATATGGCCAGATGACACAGGAACAACCAATTTGGTGCCGGCACTAATCAGATCCAAAACGTTGAAAGGAGGAAGGGTTTAAGGATGAAGTTGGTAGGGGAAAGTTAAGTAATATACTCGTAATAAGAATCCATAGAAGATGCATGTTCTACGTAACAGAGTTGAATATTCCCATGCGGCACAAATTACGGATTTATTGTCGATCAGAGTAGGCATAAAAGTATAAGAGTCAAGCTTTATGAGGGAATATTTTTAGTTTAACCAAGTGAGTGACACGAACACGTCTAATTTACAAAAAGTATTTTCACTTTCGTAATTTTATGTAATGCAAAACGTATATCAGACCAAGTATGGCAAAGCTGCGTCCCGTCGCAGAATCCTTAATTGGATAAACAACAATCTTCGCACAAGTTTCATGCGCATAGAGGACCTGCGATCCGGCGTGGAATATTGTCTGATGCTTCATAAGCTGAAGCCGTCGGCTATTAAATTGAAACAGGTCTTCATGAATCCGAGGACCCATTATGAATATGTGCATAATATGAGATTGCTGCAAAAGAGCCTCTTCAAACAGGGTGTTGAGAAGCAAATCCCCATTCAGCGGCTGGTTTCTCGTGGTAATTTGGAGAATTTGGAGTTTGCCCAGTGGTTCAAGGCTTTCTATGATCTTAACTATAAGCTGTTAAGGGACGAAAAGCTGTTAAGGGATGATCAGTATAGTGTGATAGATGTAATGAAGACTGGTGTAAAACCCCAAGCGAAATTCGACGAAATGCCTGAAAGTTTCGTGGATACCGAACAAAGCAGGAATGAATCAAGATGTAGGCATTATTCACGTTCGATAAGTCGACATTCAGATCACCTAGGGAAGAATATTGAAAACTACCAGAAGTGTGAATGTGGAAGTTATATATATTCAAAAACAACCAGACGTAACCCAATATTAAAATCTAGGGATCCATTTCGGATGGCACACTCACTCTATTACATGATAGAGGCCGTCAATACAACAACTGCGCATATAAATTCAACATTAAATACAATCCGTAGATTCTTAATTAGAGAAAATCCAGATGTTTGCAGAAAAGTTTTCCCTAAGAAATATAGAATCTTAAATTCGCGACTCATCAATAAGCCTACTAGATTGATGACTAAGAGAAGGTACTTACAGAATAAACAAGCAAATTGGCAAGTAGGGCTTCTAAAATCAGAAAATCAAAATTCAGAAACCTCACCATCAAAAGACGAGCCTGGCATTTTCCTTGATGTTGAGGACCCCAGTATATCGAGGACTCATAAAATCGACGTAACTGACGAGGAACCAGGTAACGAACCAGATCTATTTCGAAGTCCACAGTCGATTTCCACACAGATCTTAGATGATTTAAGTTCAAGCTTCGATAATTTATCAGATAAAGAACAAGATTCTCTTGGCCCAGAATTGCATTATTCTTCGTCGGCAGATGAATGGTCCTTAAACTCAGATGAGGGCTGTACGACAGACAGAAATCCAAAGTCAATTTCCACACAAATAGTAAAGGATTCTGATGATGTGCCCTTGTCCCATAATCTGGAAACCTTTAGTGCAAATGCAGAAGACCAATCCATTCATAAAGCTGAAATGGGGAAGCAGGCAATAATGGCAGATGATTTAGGTTCCGACTTCGATAGAGCATCAGATAAAGAACAATTTTCTCTTGGCCCAGAATTGTATTATTCTTCGGCCGACGAAGAATTGTCCTTACGCTCACTTGAGGAATGTACGACAGACAGGTGCTTTTCCTACAACAACCTGAATTCTCTATTTCGAAATCCGGAGTCAATTTCAACACAGATAGTAGAGGATTTCGGCGCTGGCCTGACCACGAAAAGTGTACCTTTGGATGATGATGCGCCCGTTTTCTTTAATCTGGAAACCATTAGTGCAAATGAAAAAGAATTAGGAGAACAATTTACTTTAAGACATGACATTCTCAAAGCTGAAACGGATAAGCAAACTAAACCGGCAGATGATTTAAGTTCCAGCTTCGATAATTTATCAGATCAAGAACAATTTTCTCTTGGTCCAGAATTGCATTATTCATCGTCGGCAGATGAATGGTCCTTAAAATCAGATGAGGGCTGTACGACAGACAGAAATCCAGAGTCAATTACCGCACAAATAGTAAAGAATTCTGATGATGTGCCCTTGTCCCTTAATCTGGAAACCTTTAGTGCATATGAAGAAGACCAATCCACTTCAAGACATGATATTCATAAAGCTAAAATGGATGAGCAAGCTATAACGGCAGATGATTTAGGTTCCGACTTCAATAGAGCATCAGATAAAGAACAATTTTCTCTTGGCCCAGAATTGTATTATTCTTCGGCAGCAGATGAATTGTCCTTAAGCTCACTTGAAGCAGACAGATGCTTTTCCGACAGAAACCTTTATTCTTCAACTAATAATAATTGGAATTATTCGGAAGATTCGAGTACTCTATTCCAGAATGAGCTGGAGACTGACATGCCAATTCCTTTCGCAATTGTCAGAAGCAAATCGCAGTCTAGCCATGAAAATATTTCGGAAAATACAATACCTATCAACGTTATTGATTTTCAGAAATATCGAAATCCATCAAATATTTGTAATTCTGCAAATAGTTCCACGACAGATGAACTGTCGCAGAAAAAAATGGATCCTAAAAGATGTAATCGCAGTAAGAACTCTAATGGGAAACTTCTCAGAAATCGTTTGGCGCACGTTTTCTATCAATCTAGACACTTCAAATATCGCTCGATTGGTGGTTGTTCTAAGCAGAAAAACGTTAAAATCAAGTGCTTGAAGTATTTGGTCAGAAACTTGAAAGTTGGATTCCGCGCAATCTCCGCGGTTGAAGAGTGTTCTTGCGATGATAACTCTGATGTTGGGGATTTGAGACAAAACCTCGCATGTGTGTTGGACAATTTTCAAAAAAATCTTAAAAATTTCCGAAAGATTTTGAAAAGTTTGTACCGCCAAAAGAAAATGAGGGAAGAAATCAACTATATAAGAGAGAAGAAAGTTTGAAGCTTGCCCTAAGTACCTTAATTTACATACTTCTACCTGTCTATTAAATACAGAAAAAATTCTACAAATTTGCATAATCTTCATCAGCTCAACGAAAATAAATTTAAAAGTTCCACACCCAAACGGTTCACCTGTAGCAAAATAAAATTTGACCAACTAAAGATTTCCCCAGTTGTCGTTGTTTTAGCCGCAGTTGAGTCGACTTGACTTCAAATTTGCCTAAACTTGTTGGTAATTGCTGTGAATTGGAGTGTCTGGCATTGGTTTCGGTATCCCCTCCCGTCACTGGACAACTCATTCAGTGAGTCAGTTAGTCAGTCAGTCAGTTAGTCAAACAACCATCGCAACCGCACTCATTTGCCAAATTAATGGCATTTCATTTGGGACTGCTGCCGCCTCAGCTCAATATCATTCATGCCAGGAAGTTGTCCTCATCGTTGTCCTTTTCGTTGTTGCTGTCGCTGTAGTTGTCTGTCCTGAATTTACGTGTCTGGTTTGGACGCTTCTGGCGAAAAGATACTGCTCTTAAACCAACTCCTCTACACTGCGAGAAACATTCGCCGCCAGAGACATGGCCGTTCAAATAAATTTTGCAGCTGAAATGTAAATGCAATCAAGCCTGGTGATAAGGCGATCGGACTAATTCAGTTCTCAGAATAGCATTATTTAAATTTGCAACCTAATTTATCCGCTGTGTGGCAGCTCCTTTCTTCCAAAAGCCACTCCTTTTTGCCAACTGGCGGCTGGCCAGGAAAACTCCTTTCTCTGGATTTTCCCGGGGGGTCAAGGGGTTAAGGTAGCAGATTGAGCGGAGTACATTTCCAGGCGAACGATTTTGGCAGCCAGTTGTTTGTCAGCGCCGTGCGATTATTCAAAAGTGCAACATGCAAATTTATTTTCTGCATAAAATGTTATGAGCTCGCATGAAAATGTCTGACAACAATTGGGATTGGCAATCATTGTCCCCCCGGCGCAAACTTTGTTGGCAAACATTTTGAGAGGCTTCGGTATTAACCCCTTTCGGAATAGGGGGCTACTTTGACACCATTGCGGTTAAGCCAATGCAATTTGTATTGAAAGTGCAGAAAACGTTAAAGGCTTATTCATTTTTTAGGTTGATTTATCCACCGAACTATTGTTAATAATGAAGCCGACACACTACTCTACTGAACTCTACATAAACTATTTTAATGGGTTAGGCTGTAGAAGCCACTAACTGACATGAGTTGAGGTATGTTGGCCTGCTGTAGTGTTTTGTTGTGGCACAGTTGGTATCTTAATTGGATGAGGAAAGTGTCGAGTGGGCTTACCACTTCTTCTCTGATTGTTTCCATCCATTATGCACTCCACACTCTGCGACACTGAATTGATTTCAACCACTGCCGCATTTCAATTAATATGTATATCGTACGGGCGGATGTATATTGCCACCATATTCATTTCCCCAGATGGCGGGAAAAGCCGTCAGTGATTTGCACTTTTCCAGCTCATTAAAATCGCATAATTTGTAAAATATTTACGAGCTTGTTAAGCGCTTCCCAGCCGCTAGATCCGCTTTACATTTTTCGCAGCGGCCTCATTTACCTAATAAAATTACTGTCAATTAACGCCAGGTATCGTGCTTACCTACATTTTCCAGTCCCCAATCGTTTGCCCCGAGTTTCTCGGAATCCTCCTCTGGGAGGATTATTTTTTACTTTGAGGGGTTCGAAGGTACAGCATTAGCAACACGGTCAATAAATTATGTAAACGGCTTAAGCTGCTGGCCATTTTTTCTAAGTCCTCTGCATTAATTACCAACTGGCAACATTGAATGAAAGTTATGAACTTATGGAAATTAGATTTAACCTAAAATTCGTTATTTTGTAAACGGTATTCTGAATTTAATTAGCATGATTCGAGCTTTTGCTGCTTTATAGTTTAACACGACATCTAACAAGACATTGATTGCAGCCACAATTCCAATGGACCCCAAAAGTGAAATTAATGTTTGCGCCGTCAGAAGGGGAAAATTGCAGCATTGTCAAAGAAATTAAAAAATACAGAAAAAAACATTTTTAACCAGGAAGCGAGCGGCAAACTTTTAACACATAAAATTTCAACTGAAAGGAAAAACATAAAACTGATGGATTTACGAACACAGCAGACCATTTTCCAGGCGCTGCTGGTGAGGAGTGGGAAACTGGGTAAGTGGAAAACTCCCTGGCTTGGTAGCTGTCTAAAAGCATGCCACCAAATAATAATAGTTTTTCACTTGTTCAGTTTGACCGCCAGCAGCCAAGCGGCGAGTTTATGTGACAAACGTGACTCAAGCGACAATTGCTCGGCTTTCACCCCGGGAAATCCGGAAAATCGTGGTCGGTGAGGGGGCGGGGTTGTTAGGAAATTCAGAGCGTTAGGAGCAGGGGAGCTGCCTTTTTTATGGCCACACAATAAAGCGAGCAATTGAGCGTCTTAAAGTGTCGCCCAAGTGCATTTAAATCACACACTTTGCGACCATTTGCCGTAATTTGACTTTAAATGTTATGGCCAAGAGTTGATTCGCCCTCATCTTCCGCCCAGCCGCCTACTCCAGCACCCAGTTAGTTTGCCAGCCGAAGGACCTTGTGCTCTGCTCCACTTTATGGCCAATGTCTGGTGCCCACAAAAAATAAGAAAAACATAAATTTGATGTACATGTCGATTATGTGCCAAAAACGAGCAAAAACCACAAAATTCACGACCGAAATATTCCTAAGTCAATTTTTTGACCTTCGCCAAAAAGAGGTCAGTGTGAGAAATGGAAAATGAGTTAGCTTAAGTTGAGGTATTACTTTTTAAGCGATCCTTTTGACTACTAAATAAAAATTATCCTTTAAAAACTGTATGCTGCTTTAAACCTGATCTTTCAGGCCAATTTTTATTAAATGGGTTTCTTAATTCACACAACAGCAAAAAAAAGCTCAATTAAAAATATTCACCTCTTTTTATGAGCCGACTTCAGTATCCATATGATTTACATATTTCAGTCGCTGGCTTAATATGCTAGCTCATAGCGCCACCAAGTGGTTTAAAAAATGTGGAATCCAATAGACATGTGACCAAAATTGAAACTCAAACATGGATAAAAAAAAATATATTTCAAACAACAAAAAATGGAATGATTTAAAAATGTGTGATGTGTGCGAATGGTTTGGCAAAATGTAAATCAATATAATGAAAATGACTGAAAAACATGTGCGAGCTAAGAGGCGCTGAATATTATTTTCGAGCACCCTGAGTGTTTTCTTTTTATCACGATTGGAAAACTTTTTTCTGTGGTACGGCAATCCAGTTGTTTAATTGGCAAGTTCCCATCAATGGAAACGGATTGAAAACGGAAAAATGTTTATTTAATTTGAGAGTCAAACATATATTTTAACAGTTGTGACGACTGGTAGCCAATTTTCGGGGTTACTATTTTATTTTTGCAAAATTACGTACAATATTTATTTATCGTATGTATAAAAATGATTTCCTCTTCTATACAGTGATTTAAGAATTGATTCTTCCACTCGCAATAAAGTTATTTCGAAAGCGAAGCCTTCATTCGTAAGTAACCACTTTATTCTCCTTAAAAAGTTTCAAGGCAGCAGTTCCTTTATAGTTCAATTAATTTTTTAAGTGCCAATAAAATAATGTTTACTTCCACAGGCGGCCATCAAGATAATGTGGCTCTCTATCTATGGCTAATTTGCGTGCCTTTTAAAGACGGCCGAAAGTGAAGTGGGATCGAGGGGCGGTCAGCGGAAAGCGGTTAGCGGAAAGTGGAAAGTCCCGCGGAGAAAAGCGCTGGATTCTCGATTGCAGGATGCGACCGCTTAAGTGCCTCTGCCAGAGTCATAACAATACACTATACAGCAACAAAAGCCGCCGCTGACATGCCGCTTATTATTTATGTATTTTAATAACAGGCAGACGACGACGTCGCGACGGAGCTAAAAAGAGATGGCTAGAGCCGCCCGCGAAAGAGACGGCAGTGTTGGCCGTTGGAAAATGAAGTACAATGGCCGACGGGCTACAAAATGGACATTGGTTAATGCGACAGCTGTTGGGGAGATCGGAAAAACCAGCACAGCGAAAAAAGCGGAGAGGAAAAATTGTGGCTGCTGCTGTCTGTTAAAAATAATCAACATTTCTATATATACATATATGGTATATATGTATGTATGACGCAGCCATCCTGTCGTATACTTAATGACAAGCGAGACTTGAACTTTAAACCAAAGTTGCAACTTAATTGAAATGTTATCCACAGATTCTATGGGTATTTTAAATACGTAATAAATCGTATATCCTATTAAAATCTGCACAGCAAGAAAGCTGATGAAGTGATCGCATTAATGAATTTCCGCATATTAATATAATGACCTGTTAGTATACTATTAGGAAAATCGAATTTGACTATGAGGGATTCTATCTTATTGTTGTGCACTTAGGTATGCATTTCTATGTAATTAAAAAACCTACTTGTTTTTGGTCAACAGATCACTTGGCTTGTTAAAAACTCGGCAATTACTACTTCTCACGGGAACTACTCGATACTTTTCCTCCGTGTTGTTTCGTTCGTTGCATAATTAATGCTCTGTGCTTTAAATTTACATTTACAATGACGTTACAACGCTGTTCACTGATGTTGATGCGCATTAAGTGTGCGTGAGTATCTGTGTGTGGCAGGGCAGGTGAAACCGCAATCAGGCGCACATAAATACCATTCGCATATGTATATTTATACTAGCTGCCACATAAGTATGGCAAGCAGCAGTTCTGAAAGTTGCTCACACATCCCAACGAACTGAACTCAAGCTGAACGGCTTAATGAAATTATCGTTTTCATTTTATTCCAGCTTCGTTGTCTTGGGGCCAGGTGAAATTGCCAGAAAATTGCCAACAATTTGAAGCCGGACTCAAACACATCCGAAAGGATAACTATTGTGTTCAAATTTAAAGCGTAAAAAATTGGCAGGCAAAAAAAGGAAACAGAAATTAATTCCGAACAATACGACAATAGGGTTTCACTTATCAGCTTTTATAGAACGCAGATGATTA